ACTTTGGAATCATTCACTGAATTAGACATTCATTTTAGCTACCGCTCTCCAATGCAGAGAATAGTATTTATGAGCATAGATATCTGATAACTAATACAGAATAGTTAGATTACGATATGTTCTATCACGGGATATTTCTACGATATTTACAATCTATCATAAGTAAGTTACAATCACAATGATTTGAACTGTAAGTAGATGATTCGCTTTCCCTAATATAACTATTAACTTCAGTATATGTACTGTATATATGCTACTGTCATAAAAAGCCAATACTATATTTAAACGCAGTATTTCATATCCAAATTAGAAGTTAACTTAATAAAAATATTCTGACAAAATTATTCTAACATAGATATTTCTACTCAAATTCAGTACAGCATACAACACTGTCACAATCAATCACTCGAATTTTGAATGTTATTATATTAACTTCTTGAAGTGATAGACAAGGACTAAATACGATAGAGTTTAGGATTAAATGAGTAAACCTTCTCATCAAGTTGATTTTGAATCAAGATTGATGCTTAGTAATTTTTGTAATCCATTTTCCATTTAGATAATTAATGATTATCATTCATTGCCCTTGCAAACTGCAAACTTCAATTGTTTGAGCTATTATTAAAATATGAATTAAGATCTTAATTATATTAGACTTACTAAATTGACGAGAGAAAATTAATTAGTGTTAAAGACGACAATAGATTCTAGTAATTCCTGCACTAAAACACAGTCATTTATAGTATGCAATGCTTCCAGCAAAGATCAATCCGTTTAAAGGCCGCAGCTATTCACCTTAAGATTTCATAAAGATAATTAAGGATGATATCTTTCAAATTTATACATCCAGTTATATAACTTAAACTATACCATGTATTAAAATTTTCATTATCACTCATATACGCTCTGGATTTTGTTTACATGTTTTAGTGAGTGTCAAGATGTACAGAATCACTATCAAAATTAGTTTTCTGAAAGTTTCTTTTCAAATTCTACTAGTGTTGGTGCCGACTCGAAGCCGCACGATAGCAATACTACGAGTTTATTAAAAAATTAATAATTATAATATTTTCTACTGAAAGATTTACAGTAAGCTTATAGAAAATATATCAGGACATATTTCGTAAATTTTTATCCTGATAGATAATACCAGAAATTATTCTACTTGATTTAAAAATTTATTCAAACTTCAAATTTACATTTATATAAGGCGATTAGATTAGCAAACGGTTACTCCCGAACCTTGTGATTTATTTCAGCCATTGGTTAGTACATTTAATTCATAAAAACCTGGTATTAATTGACAAAGTATAGAGTCTTATCTATAATAGTATAAGATCAACGAAAATTTCTACAGTACATTAATTTGCTAGCATATTTAAATAAACTTTTTAATATATTATTGAACTTAAGAATACTAAAAAGTTTGGATATGTTGAGATTTTGAAATTTACCAGTTATTAAAAGGTAAAAGTTTTAGCAGATAAACTAACTTACTATTCAATGAGATTGCTGAATGAAATAAGGAGGGGAAATCTTTATAAACAGTATTTCAATATTTACGAAAATCTTGGTGCAAATTATTGGCAACATCCGATCCTGTATGAATAGGAAAATAGCTGATTTCATGGATTTAGATTACGTTTGGCGTTAATCTGGTGGACAATTATATAGTATTGAATATTTAAACTGGATAAGAAAATTGCAGAGAAACTAAAATAATACAGCTGATTTTGGTATGTAAGAACAAATAATTTAAATATAGTTAACAATATCTATAATTCATTAGTAACGGATAAATAAATGCTACTGTATTCATATTTTAAGGGTTACGATTATAGAATATTTAAGCAGAAGGTTGCATGAGCATTAAATCATATTTTAAATATAGTTTACCATAGATTTTATCAATATTTCTCCCCATAAATTTCTTAACAAATGTAAACATAATAACTATGATGATAAACGTACTGTAGCTACCCCAAAGAAATAAATACCCGTATCTTCTTAGATTTTGGATAATATTTGATATTAATTAAGAAAATATCCTATTCGAGCCATTAATCTATGAATCAAGGCATTTAGGAACAACTAACAATATTTCTAGTAATTAATACGTCAAAGGTTAGCAGGCATCGTTCATGTATATTTAATTGATGAATCATACAATGTAAAATAATTGTGTTCGCTTTACAAAGATTACCCAACATGAAAATAATTTGACCTTTTAAATTTTAATTAAGAAAACTCTTGCTTACAGCTACTAAAGAATATAATTTGATCAGAAATTGAAATTGAAGAATTGAGCTAAATGATATTGTTTATCCAGTTATTGTCGTTATTTAGGATACTAAAATTAATTATTAATAATAGGAATTCTAGATTTTTCTAATTTATTTTCATTAGCATGATCGAATTTATCTAGTTTTAAATCCAGATACAAAGTTTAAACGCAGAGATTGCTTATTGTCTGGGGCTTAGAGGCAACAAAAATGCGGGCGATAAATGATAAAAGTAATTTAGACGGATTATGTAAAAATGAAATTGATCTAGTGAGTAATTCATAATTACTTGCATGCAAACTGTTAAACAGATTATAGAAAATGAAAGCATTGAATTTCTATTAATGGTAGAATCTTAAACAATACATTTCCCAAATTAATCATTTCAATAATAAGTCTTGTATTTAGGGTGCCTTGCAATTAGCTAAAAAGAATAAGGCTGATCTGGTATATTAATTATTATTATCAGAAATTTGAAGTCTGCATAATTTATCCTACTACATATATTTAATGTACTAAATCAAACTTTAGCTGGTTAATTTATTTGATTTTAAATTAATATCCATTGTTATTAGTATACTATAGTTATTGCAAGAGTTATTGAGCGCAGCTCATATTATACTAACTATATATAGATAAATATGCACAATACTTTTCACTTAATTGAGTTGTATTGGTGGCTCTTCAAGGTTTCTGTTATAATAATCATTGATTTAGATCTCCAAGCTGCAAATTTGTTTACATTAAATTTATGCGTTTATCTCCCATATTAATTTTTACAATTTAAAATAAGCAAAGGGATTGTTTGCTATTATTTGTAGCTAATGATGAAAGAAAGAAAATAATTGTAATTAAGAGCAAGATTCTCAAGAATTATCGTTATTCAACTAAAAATTGAAGCATCATAGAACTGAAAGAGTGATGAAAAATCTGAAGATGAAATTGACATTATCAGTTGTAGAAAACGAAAATTTACTTTCAAATCGTAAATTCATCAAGGCTACTCAAGGTATGTTGCTACAGACAATACTGATATTGCAGTTATTATTGAATATACATTCAAACCTTAGTAATATCCACTTAATCAATTGAGATATTATCAAAGAGCGATAGTCGTGAATCATGAATTGATCCTAATTAAGCCATAAATTAGCTTTTAGTAAATATAGCGAAAATTCGACTTGACTAAGAAATTGAGGATGTAAATCTGGGATTTACTGCATTTAAGCAAAACTGTAGTTTCTTTTCAAACTTATTAACGAAAAATTAGCTACTGTTAGTCTCTAATCCTAATAATTTATCACAACTACAATGAAAATCAAAAGTACGATATTCATTTTTAAAGAAAGCCAGCGAAATATAATATTTGAATAATTTATGAAAGATGAAGCATAAATAGATGGATAATACAAAATGGAATTGACAATATGTAAAAATATTAATTAATTTATAGGATTAAATTTTAATTGTTGACTTCCCTGCTTTTTAGAACTTTTAATTTAAATTGCCGCACTATTTTGTCGAGACAGGATGTTTTGTAATAAATTATGGATTTGCAAGGAGCTAAAGAGATCATTTGGTTATTGTTATACGTTGAGGGCATATTCATTGCGGTTTAGTCCTTAAACTAATGGCCGTTCCTGAACTTTTCTACTAACGGTGAATTGACTCTTTAATGATTGTCGACTTTAAGTCAAAATTATTTATTATTCTAAAATACATCTTTCAATTTCGAAAAGTAGCTCGGAAACAAATCTCGAAAATTTCATGAATTGTTGACAACGTTAAAGGAAAACAATGATCTACTTTAGTTGTTGAATTGACTTTATTAAAACTAAAACAAAATAAACCGAGCAAACAATCATTTAAAGCTATTATAAGATTAATCTATTATTAATCGGAAAGACGTAGTCAAGTAGGATATTATTTGTAATTTTTGTGTGTTGTCTATGTCTGTGTCTGTATGCCTGTACACAGATATGTAGATGTAGAGAAAGACAATGGTTTCTTGATAGTATAATTAATTATTAGACGAGCTAAATAAAAAGATGAATTAGATCAATTTAACGCGTGATATTTATTCTATACTGTATACTCAAAAACTGTAGCATATTTTTTGCGTAATCGATGTTAAATACTCTTATCTCGTAGTTAACTTGTATCTTGACAATTTTGGATGAAGCAACAGAACATTAATATCGAGATGGGTAGATACTAAATTTATGCGAATACATGAGTTAGCATCTTTAAAACTTATATTATTGTATGTCTACTGGTAATATTAAATATTGCCCTCTAATATAAATTACTTTTAGAAGATAAAATAGAATTAAGTTATAGGTCTGTCTAATTATTCGAATTGATTAAATTAAACAGAAGAATAAATGAAACACCTGCATAGGATATAATTTCACAAATAATCTTCACACCATAGCTTCTTTATATTTTTTGTTAAATAATTCAAGATTATAAATAGTATTGATATTATTATCGATTACTGTAATGAATTAGCATTCTAATTTTTGGTACTATTTCTAATAGAAAGTTAAAAATTTTTAACCTTTTAAATAGCATCATCTTTTCATCTATTGTATACTGACGACTCTAGCTAAAATTAACATCCATTTATTTTTTACTATTTAAAAACCGCAGAATACCAAGTATTTTCTAATCATAGCTTCAACAGCGACAGCGGTAAGAACAGAAATTATATTTGAGATGGATTCAGATTTATCCAATTTAACTGGCTATGAAATGTATAACAACTACTTACCATCATTCCTGTCGATTCCTATAACCATTTTTCTAACTTTGATAATGGTCATGGGTATTCTGGGAAATACCTGCGTTACTATTATATTTAAACCTAATCGAATGCCAATAACCACAAATGAGACAGTTAATAATTTGCTCCTTTACCATTTAGCCATTGCTGATTTGGTCAACTGTCTCTTATGTATACCTGCAGAAATTATTGAATTTAATACGTACGGTCAAGTGCGACATTACACCTGTCAAGTTGTAATGGCAATATCTATGGTATGTGAATCCATAAACTGCTATCTCATGATATTACTTAGTTTCGAAAGATACTTAGCTGTTCGTCGTAAACCCCTTATTATCAATTCCAATCCATTACATCCAAGAAGAAGGTGGAAGATTTATTATTTCAGCGTTATTTCTTGCTGGATTTTATCCTGTGCCATTAGCGCTGTAACATTGTTAAAATTACAATATCAACCCAGATATTTCTCCTGTTTATCAATTCAGGTAAGATTGAATAATTATTGGCGATTAAATAGTAAATATAAGTAAATAGGCTTTAATTCTACTCTAGAATGAAATAACTTTATTATTTTGTTACTGAATGTTGTTAAACTTATATTACATATCAAAACTGGACAAAGTTTGTATGTCATTATAGAGTCAATAGTCGATTGATATTGAGTTTTCTTCGTGAGATTTACTGTTCTCCATGTATTGCAAGTCTACAATTGATTTTCATAACTCTGATTATAGTACCATTTATCATTATCTTATCCGACTGAATACATTAAATTTTTAATCAGCACTAAAGTAATTAGGCATTATTTGAAAGCTAAGTGCAAAACCAGTTATTAATTTCGGTTAAGATGAATAAATACTTACTACTTAACTATCTTCTAGAAACTGCCTATTCAAAGTATTCTTTCTTGCGTAGTTAAGAATTTTAGATGGACTAAGTCGATGCTAAATTCTACAAGGATAAAAATTTTCATAATTTATTGTTAAGATCACTTTAATCGCAAAAGGAGATTAGTCTATTTATCAAACTTAATAAATAAATATTAAAATTTTATTTAAATCACATATCTTTAGGATATGTAGGAAACGGCAGTGAAATGCCTTTAATTATATTTTTTAAGCAACTCGAAGTTAATTTGATGATTGCAAAACTTGCTTACCCAGTATTAAAAGCCTTAATCGATTATTCGATACCCGAAGTAGCTATAACCGACAAGTAGCATCTTAAGATTTTAAAAATTAATTAGAGGCTTCAGAGAACTTGATTCAAGAGATCTTAATTATAGTTCATTATTATCTAATATGAATCTATTTCTCATCTATACTTCCGTCAAGATATCTGCATAAAAATACTACAGTAACAGAAATGATATACAATAAAAATATTTATCATTAGAGATGAAAAGACTCAGAAAATATTTTACCTTACTCAAGTAAATCTTAATTTCAGTGCAACTTAGCCCTTTGCTAGATCCATCTCTACAGAAATAAAAATTGCCTGACAATCTGTAATTTTTTTTCGGTATTAATCTAGCCTGGTGATCCCTACGACCTTATTTCATCGCGAATTCGAATGTATTCAATTCCATCAATAGCTTGGAATACATTCTTATTTTTTGCTACATTTGTAGCTGCAATAACATCCTTTACTTATATTAGGCTGATTATTTCTAAACAAGAACAGCGACAATCTACCCAATTATTGCAAAAAAGCGTTCTTCAGGTACCGTATTTCGTATGATAATTTACAACTAGAATAGATATTAAATCAGGCCGAATTATACGATCTTCAAAGTTGCGCATATTTTTTATTATTACGACATTATTAGATTTATAAAAATCATAGCAATTATTACGAGTAAAATATGATATTAGCTGATAATATTTATTGTTAATATCGAATTAATAAAGGTCGCATCAGTCGTTATTGGAGTATTCCTTCTAAGCTATGGACCGGTATTTTTAATGGGATCATTTCCACAGAAATATAATAGCTTAAATTCGGCAATAATTCGATCTATTTCTGTCTCCGCAACCAATATTAGAAGCTTTACTAATCCTATAGTTTATTTTTACAAGCATCGAAAATTCCGTGATAAGATACGTAAGCTTCTTCGTAGTAGAGAAAAACAAGTTATGCCCGAGATTAGTCATACAAGCGGACTATTTTATGAGCAAACAGCAAATGTAATTGTCATTGAATCATATTTGTCTACTTGCGAATAGCAGTTAGATTATTTATCATCTTCATGCTAATATTTAGTTTTAGGAGATTAACTTAGTTGTTGAAACCTTATCATTGAGATAGATTATTATGATCAAAGACATATTTTGCCGGTTTCTTTAATTTGATCATCTCTATAATGCTTGTAATAGTCAAAATATTTTAGTCTAGTGTAGAAAATTTCGTAACCTTCACGAATTGTTTCAATATATAAATTTAATTAAGGCGTAAGACAGACGTAAATGTATCTCAATTGTAGAAAAATATTCTTTTGGCATTCGAAAGGTCAACGATCGAACATTTTCAATGCGCGATCATGATCATTAAAAATATTAATTTTATTAACAGTTTCTTTTACTGGAAAAGATCATTTCCGTGTTTGATAATCATATAATTATTTCTTTTCATTATTTCCTTTATAACTCCATGTTTAAATCGTTTGTTTATCTGTATTATTTTGCTGTTCAAAGCTAATTCAATATGAGAATATAATTTTAATCAGGTGATAAACGAAATATTGTCTCATTTTATGATTATAATTACCTGTAATAAGATTTACCATAATCACTTTATCCTCAAGTGTACTTAGTGTAATTTGCTGTTTGTTACAAACAGTTTTGCAACAAGATAACGTAATGTACGATTAACAAGCCAATTCCTTGGATCATGTATCAAGGAACGATATCTTCACTATCAGGAACACTTTTACTCTACTAGCAGACTATACAAAAACCTAGACGCCTCGTATTTTACGTTGAACACTAAGTGTAAGAATTGACTTTAATACGCGATATACTGCATTTATATACTCTTCCCTAATAGTTCATGAGTCATACTTAGTACGATTAATTTTGGAATCATTCACTGAATTAGACATTAATTTTAGCTACTGCTCCCTAATGCAGACAATAGTATTTACGAACATAGCCATCTTATGACTAATACAGAATAGTCAGATTGCGATATGTTCTATCACGGGATATTTCCACGATAATTTACAATCTATCATAAGTAAGTTATAATCACAATGATTCGAACTGCAAGTAGATGTCACAAATTTTCTTCGTTGTGAATGGTTCACTCCTCTAGTAACTAATATCCTAGTGCACTCGGGGTATGTATAGGTAATCAATTACTCGAAAAGTATCCAGTTGAAAAGTTCATTATCTTGCTCGACGAGCCTTTTTGACTACTAAATTTTGGAACAACTAGTCGTTGTGAGCTCGCTCCTTTTATACTCTCTGGGAACGGCCGCTGGTGCATTCTAACAAACTGAGCTCTAATCATTTTCTATATTTAAGATAGGCATTAACTTCAGTATATTCATATGTCACAAAACAGCTTTGCAACAAGATAACGTAATGTACGATCAATAAGTCAATTCCTTGAACCACGTATCAAGAAACGATATCTGCACTATCACAAACACTTTTGCTCTACTAGCAGACTACACAAAGACTTAGACGCCTCGTATTTTACGTTAAACACTAAGTTTCAGAATCTACTTTATTACACGATATACTGCATCTATATACTATTCCTCAATAGTTCAAGAGTCATAGTTAGTACGATTAACTTTGGAATCATTTACTGAATTAGATGTTAATTTTAGCTACTGCTCCCTTAATGCAGACAACAGTATTTACGAACATAGACATCTGATGACTAATACAGAATAGTCAGATTACGATATGTCTTATCACGGAACATTTTCACGATAATTTACAATCTACCATAAGTAAGTTACAATCACAATGATTCAAACTGTAAGTAGATGATTTGCGTTCCCTATTATAACTATTAATTTCAGTATGTGTATAAGTGTCACTGTCATAAAAAGTCAGTGCTATATTAAAACACAGTATTTCCAAATTAGAATTTAACTAAATAAGGATAGGCCAACAGAATTATCCTAACATAGATATTTCTACTCTAATATAGTATATAGCACTGTCACAGTATATATGTCACTGTCATAAAAAGCCTGAGCTATATTCAAACACAGTACTGCATATCTAAATTGGAAGTTAACTAAATAAGGATAGGCTAACAAAATTATTTTAGCATAGATATTTCTACTCTAATACCGTATTTAAATCTGTCGCACTATTTCATTAAGATTATTATATTCTAATAAGTCTGTTACAATAATCATGAATTTAAGAACTGTTTTACAGCGCTCATCACTATAAATGTTAGACTGTATACAGATTGACTTTTCTGTCATGAATCGAGCCAATGGAAGACATACCTATGAGCAATGATTTTTTTACATGGAGCAGCAAGATTTCCTTAGTTTTGATCTAACTATTTCGTGGTCTTATTCATTTTTTTCTTTAGTATTGTTACAAATATATTCTATACTATGTTGTAAAAATTGTAATTGATTAGAATAAGCTGAAAGGGCGTGTAAAATTTGATACTGGAGCTAATATAACAACAAATATATTCACAGGAATTTAATATTATTTTTAATACACTATTACGCTATATTACTTTGGTATTGTAAAATTCATGAAACTTGAAAGACTACTGCACTGATAGTTAGTTCTACATTGACATTTTTGATTACTATTGAAATGAAAGCCTGGGCATAAAATTTGGTTAAACAGAATTTCTCGATAGCTTGGCCGTAAAAATTACAATAATGCTATTTATTCTACTTTCTTTACTAACTATTAATAAATTCTGAAACGATTAATTAAAATCCAATTTCACTGGTAATTAATTTAATCAAATGGTGAAAGCTTTTCAGTCTCCTCTATTAATTTCCGCACCTTCAATTACAAAAAACTTAAAATTTATATCATACTGTCACGGTACGAACTACCGTGAAGAAATAGTTATCTAAATTTGGTTAATATAATATAGTGATAATATATTACATCTAGTTCCTTACAATAGGAATTACTCTAATTATAAATGTGTTACAGTAAATTTATTGCTGTGCTGTAATGTGTGCTGAAATGATTATGTGAATGGACATATTGTAGTCCGACTGTGAAAAACTGGTTAGTAGATGTTCTCACCCAAGTATTTTTATAAGATGACTTGTGAATGTTAGCTGCTGTAGAAGGGTATATAAGCCCGTCAGATAGTTGAATAAAGCAGTTCTCAATTGTCTAGTTGAGTTTAACGTAGAATCAAAGGCGTCTAAGTTCTAGTGAGGTAGTTAAGGGATACTGATTCCCGGAGACTATAGTAATTTAGAGATTTGTTTTACGTTATCCTTGTCACGAAGCTGGTTTGTGACACCTACTCTCTGTGAACGTACTCTATCGCTACTCTTCATTCTGTTAGCTAAGCCTTAAAATTATGTTAAAGAAGTCATCCAGACTTGCACATTTGGAGGCCATTTTTGTCTGTAACATATTAGTTTTGATTTTATTATTTAAAACGGCTTAATAAATAGCGGTTATTGCAATTATTTTTGAATATTAATCTTTGCTCAGTCGTCATTACCAACTATTATACGCTTAGAAAGTCACGTCTAGTGTCATTGTTGAAAGCTATATTATCCTTTTAGGAAATACTATCGCATTAATCTTATCCATTAGTGTCTATAGATCAACGGTAATCAGACTTTAATGATTATATTGTCCACTAGATCATAACTAGTTCATTTTCTTCTCTTTACATTCATCCTAGTTAAGCCGGATAGATCATTGCAACATGTTTAATTACTGTACGACTGCATTTAAAAAATATTCTTGTTTACCATAATTAAATAATTAATTCACCATTATTTAAGAATATTATTATTTATTCTTACCCATTTAGACCTAATAGGCAAACATGATATAATTTTAATCTAAACTCAACTAGTTAATAATACTTATCGGCTAGACATTTAATTTTTTATAGCTTTATCACAGTCATTAAAGTAACTTAGATATGTAGTTATAATAATCGTGCTTGTGATATGATTAACTCTTTCTGGTTTAACTGTGCGTTAAACTTTCATTGTAATGTACTGCTGCTATTGAGCATCACTAG